GGAACAAAGAAGAACAAGTTAGAAGGGCGCCGGAGTGTTTTTCGGCGTATCCCCTCCGACGATCAAGTCAGTTTTTGAGAGAGAGGAAGAAGAAAACACTGAGTATAATTTGTAGCAAAAGTTTCACCTCCCTTTCCTTGCCTTTAGTGAGGAATATTTATACCTCAAATACTCATGATTGCTGTCAGTGTGATCAGTAGGTGATCATTAAATACAGGCAACGTGCGCACTGATTCCTATGAGGAATGTATTCTCTCTTAACTGCTCGGGACCCCGAGCAATCAAGACTGTGTCATCGGCCTGCCGACGGTTGAATGAGCTCCTCTCGGGGAGGATGCAATAAATGCCCAGCCTTAGAGACATTTATTGTCTTTCACTTCCGAGCCTTACCGCATTGAATGCAGTCTCATCAAGGGAATGGTGTAATTAAATGCTTGTTTTCTCAAGTCGCGTGTCAGCAAGGTCATGCGGTCTTTCTGTCTCTGATGTAACACAATATGTCACGCGTCCATTCCTCATTGGTTGTGGCCCCTGCCTTCCTGTGCCTTCTGACACCAATTGTGTAAGACGAGGTCATGATAGCTAACCTAGCCTAGCCTAGGCTAGTGACCAGTACATCAATAGCCTCTGCTGGAGCAGAGAACTTTATCCTGGATGAGGGGGGTACATCTCGGAGCCGAGGAATAGGTACATCTTGAATCCGAGAGGGGGAGGCCTAGCGACCGATGTACCATATCAGACCGAGGGTACGTGTCGGTACATAAAAATATACTAGATGCCACTCGATCCCCATGATCAATACCTCGGGGGAGAGGGGACTTGTGACCCGATGGGTACGTGATCTCGGTAACAAAGATTAACGACACTGAGGACACGTTTCTTCATCTCGGAGTATTTCGAAAATGTCCCATCAACTGCCCCCCAGCCTTCGATCTTCTGACACCGAGGACATACGTCGTAAGGAGACGAAGGGTTTTACAACAACTCGAACTGCTTCATCATTGCTTCTAGCCGCTTTCCCCTGCTTAGGACGTCGTGCGCATTAAATGCGCCTTTTCGTGCTTCGCGCCCAATGATGGGATAGGTGCTATATATAAATGGGCTTCATCTCTTCTTTTCTCATTTTATTGTTCTAAACTTTTCTTCACAGAGCCCTTGCCGGAGACTTCGCCGGAGATCCCTTTCCTTTTGTTGTTAACTGTCCAACCATTTCACCGGAGTTTTTAGGCCAGCAGACTCATCCTTGCTTCTGAAACATTTGGAAGGAGTCACTTCAAATTTCCCAGAAAAAACTTCTTTTTACATTCTGGTGAGTCCCAGTATCTTTCCTTTCTTTGTCCTTCTGTCCCTTTTGGGATTTCGATAACTGGAGGTGTCTCGATTACCACTTAGCGACCAATCCTCGGGAAGCTTCCTTGGGGACCTTTAAGGAAAAAAACATCCTCCACTTTTTCTCACTTTCTTCGAGATGCCTCGTCATCGCCCTGCCCTCGAGAATCCTCAGGCCAGCTCTTCGGGGTCAGGGAAATATAAAGTAAATGGTAGTGAGCAAATTAATAGGTTTAAGGTCAAGTACAGTATCCCACAATATGTAGACATAGAGGATTATAACCCGGCTATGTACCCACGTGCCCTTGGTACCGAGGGTGCAATGCTCTTTTATACCAAAGCCATCATAGAAGGCGGAATTAGATTCTCTTTGCCCCATCTACTTCTCCAGTTCCTCTCTCATTTCCACCTCTTCCCCGGGCAGTGTTGCCTTAATGTCTTTAGGATAATTATGGGGGTCCTAGAGCTTAATAGGCGTCTCGGGGTGATTGTTGGACTGAATGATATCCTTTTTTGCTATTCCCTCTTGAGAGTCATGCCTCAACAACACTTCTACCTCAAAGCCAGAGACCCATCTATGTACCTCGTAACTCACCTTCCCGACTCGGACAAGGGGTACAAGGATGACATACTTAATTTCAAGGGATCTTGACAGAGAGGTGTCGGTCCCGAGTATAACGGCTTGTTATGCCCTTTGGAATGGAGAACGACAAGTACGTCGATTCCTTCGGGTCTATTATTTTGTTCTTTGAGATTTTCTATGTTCATGACTCCTTTTTTATTTGTGCAGACGTCCCTGCTCGGGAAACAGCTTCTCCCCCTCGGTCGTTGGTGAACTTTGCCGACCTAGTCACAATTTAGAGATTTATTGGTGACGACGGGTTCGGCCGGGCTGCCCACATTCTCCTGAATTACACTCCCGGATATAAGAAGTTTTCATAGCTTCCTCAGCCTTTCGAGCCTTCGCGGTGGTCTGAACTCTTTGATCAGGCGGTGGGACAAGAGGGCGAGGAGAATTTGGAGGAAGACCCTGACCGGGCTTCGGAGGCAGAAGTAGAGGGTGAAGTTGAAACGCTCGGGGTCAAAGAGGACTTGGTTCCTTCGCCCGCCGAGGTGGGGACTTCGGGGAGAGATTCGTGGCCAGACTTCCAAATTTTACAATCTCTTGACGTCGAAGACGCCCTTGAGATAGCCATGTCCAGCACGCCTCGCATTAATCTGGGGTTCCTGAGGCAGAGGCAAGCCCTTGCTGCCGGGAGGGGACGAGGATCAGCCGGTGGGGCCCCATCTGCAGGGACCAACATCACCCCATCCTCAAGAGTCGTCAGTCAGGGACAAGTGCGTGACCGAGATCCTCAGGTAGAGGAGGAGAGAAGGGTCAAACATAGGCACGATGGCCTTGGCAGGGGATCCAGGGCACCCTCCGCTCAGCAGCAAAGTGGGAGAGACCGTGGGTTACCTCCTGCTCCTCAGTAACAACAGCAACAACAGCAACAGCAGTAACTACAACAACAACAACAACAACAACAGCGGCAACAGCAGACTCCTCCTCCCCTTCCGCTGACAGTGGAAGTCGCGGAGTGGAATCCTCGAGCCACTGATCACATGAACCGAGTGATCAGGGTCGACGACACCATTTTGTAGGACCCCCATGTTGCCAATGCAGTGAGTGATACGCTGCATTTCGAGGCCGACATGGTGGCTCATAGGGGGCGATCAACGAACGTGTTGTTTCGCTCTATTATCCATAATTCTCTGGTGGTAAGTTCCATCTTTGCTTCAGTCTCTTTTTTTTTTTTTTTTTTTAGCCGCTTTTCTTTTTAGTGACGTGCCTTTTTCCTTTGCAGGCCACCCAACAGATCTCCGTGCGGTATCATGGGACTAGGATGGACCTCCACCAGGTCCGAGAGCAGAAGGAAGAAGCGGAGGGGGTCCTCGCCAGTGCTAAGGAGGACGTAGCTGCCAGGGATTCCACCCTCGCCGGGCAGGCTGCTCAAATTGAGCAACTCCTCAAGGATGCCGAGTTGGCTAAGGTCAGCGCTGAAAAGTTAAGTGCTGCCCTTGCCGACGCTGAGGGGAGGATCACAGAGCAGACGCAGCGGCTCTCTGCGGCGGAGGAGAGGGCTGTTGGTTCAGAGGAAAGCTGTCTGGCTCTAACCCAGGAGCTGGATAGGATCAGGGCCGAGGCACACTACAGGAAGTCCGAGGAGTAACTCCGAGAAGAGTTCGTCGATGACGTACTCCCCGCTCTTGAAGAAAATAACAAGGAGTTCTTCAAGAAGGGGTGGGACGAGGCGCTCCAGTCTGCTGGGATCCCGTCAGACTCCCCGCTCTTCCAGATGCACAAATACGTGCCCTCGGCTGAGATGGAACAGGCCGAAGCCGAGATTGCTGCCGAGGGCAAGATTCCAACGCCGGTGCAAGTTTTGGTGGATCTGCCTGAGGTGGCAATAGTGGATTTGTCTGATGAGGCCCCGCCGGACCAGGCTCCCGATCAGAGAACTTTATCCTGGATGAGGGGGGTACATCTCGGAGCCGAGGAAGAGGTACATCTCGGAGCCGAGGAATAGGTACATCTTGAATCCGAGAGGGGGAGGCCTAGCGACCGATGTACCATATCACACCGAGGGTACGTGTCGGTACATAAAAACGTATTGTATGCCACTCGATCCCCATGATCAGTACCTCGGGGGAGAGGGGACTTGTGACCCGATGAGTACGTGATCTCGATAACAAGGATTAATGACACCGAGAACAAGTGTCTTCATCTCGGAGTATTTCGGAAATGTCCCATCAATATATATTGCAAGCGGAAGTTGGATGGCAAAGCAATTGCACGCGAATGCCTGAGACATTAAATATACCTTGAGATTATGATAGCCGGAGACTAAAAGAGTGGCAATTGATTGCGAAGAGCACAACAAACGGTTGGAGCATTCACTGCAGCTAGTTCAAGCCTTTCACGAATGAAAACCTGTCTAATGTTGTGGCACTTTGTAAACATCCAGATGCTCTCCTATCTTTCTGGCGATTTTCATTTGTAACGAGGTGAAAAGAGTGTATGTACACTGACACCCACAACACTCTGTTCATTGGTCTGTGAATACTAGGAGTGAGCAGAAATGCCTACCAACAGATTGACCACAGTATATCGGACATGAAAACTTACCAATTATGTTTCTGCCTTAATTTGGTGAAATGCTTGATTATTTGACATTTTTTGTTGGAATTCAATTGATTCAGATAGGATTTATTGGATTGGATGTCCGATTGTTAACAAATTCGAATATGAATTTGGTTTTTTAATATCTGGCGGTTTAATGGATGGGATTCGGGACCCGAGTCCAACCTATTGATAGACCTATTATCATGTGTTTATTTTGAGAAATCATATGTTGATTTCACAATTGCGATGCCATGGATTTTCAAATGACTCGAAAAATGTTTATGTATTAACGAGTCAATGCTATTATAGATCCCAACCGAGGGAGTCAAATCCGATGAAGGTCCGAGTCAGCAGACTCAATTCTAGTATGTAAATACCATGTTTTGCATAAATGGCCAATGTATGTTATGAGTTGTAACAACTATGTTTGCTGTTAATGAGATATGGGTAGGGTTGTTATGACCAAATGTGATTGTAATATATACAGTATTATTACAGGTAAAACAAATGTAGTCACAGATGTTTTCTCTAAGAACATCATTAATCATAAACATGTGAAAACACATTTGGTTCCATGTTAGACTTCCATGGCCAGACATGCGCCATATCCTTAGAGAAGGGTATTTTTTTGCAAGTAGAGAGTATGGATGGTTGTTCTGCGTTCATGACTGACTCAAGAAGAAAGTAGTTCATGTCCCCTTGAATAATGGGGTGTCTATGCTCGGTTGTCATCGGATATAAAGAAAAAGGAACAATAAAGAAACAGAACACTAATAATCACACATGACATGATACAATCTGGAGCCTACTTCTAAGTTACAACTCACAGGTTAATCACGTTGGCGCTTGAGGATAATGACACCAAAGTCAACTTGCACGGCTGGAATGGCCTTCACCAATCAAATTGTTATTCCTTTCCGAAGCCCCTGTTGGATCTCCTCCTCCACCACCACACCTAGCCAAAATTTTCTTAGGCGAAAGCAGCATAGATCTGCACAAAGGGCAAGTGACCTGACCCTCATCTACCCAAGTATCAAGGCACTCTCTATGGAAAACATGGCTACAGTTGGAAAGCTCCCTAATCTCATGCCTCTTCTCTATGCAATCCAAGCAGATTGTGCATACCTTTCCTCCAGCTTCCTTTGCTCCAAATCTTTCGAGGAAATCGCCGTAATGGACTACTGGGACTCTCTTCCTGATGGCTTCTGTTACGACGTGGACTGGGATTGGGACTAATGATGGAGATGGCCCATCTAATATCAGAATATAATTGTTCCAATTATCCCTGGAATTCTCTTCTTCTGGTGGTGGTTTGTACAGACCCAGATGAGTGAGTGCCCCTATAACCATGAATTTCAGATGGTTTACTAAGTTCACGAAGAATGCGATGGTAATAGCCTTCGGTATCTTGATGGCAAGATAAACGAAACCCATGATTCAATTTCACTGAGAGAGAGAGAGCAATTGATAAGTGGACGGAAATGAAAAGGGCTAAGCAGAGACCGTATTTGCAAAAGGCATTTGGAAAAGTTTACCACCATTATTTTAATGATTTGATGACAGTTTGCCTTTTTTTTTTAAATCGATGATGATGATAGGTTCTAAATATTTTTAAAAAATCATACAGAACTTAATTAATTGAATTGAAATATGTATTGATGAAGCTAATTTGGTTTAGTATACAAAAAATTGGAAATGATTTCCTATTATGTTATTCCGATAGTGCCTAAATTCTTTGATTTATTGGCAACGGAATGGGATAGAGAGGGATTTTAGAAAGGAATATGCTGTGTTTATCAAAAAAAATTTATCAAATTTTTCATACTAAATAATGTGGCACAATTTTCGTTGTTAAATTTTAATAGGAACCACTAACCTTGTTGGAATTTGACCAAAATTTTCTAATTATTATGAATGAGAGTTTATTGGGTAATCAGTGTGAGAATTTTATATAAAATAGAATTATATTTGAAGAATTTTAATATACCATAAATAAGTATGTTAGACGTGTGATAGGAAACATAAATATTAAGTTATATATGAATAGGTTTAGGTTACAGTTTTTTATCGATATAAATAAGAGTGTGTATTATATAATCAGTTATCAAATAATCAAATTTTAATAAATAATACATCGATATAGATTATTGATCCAAAAATATAAGTACTGTATATCGAAACCCACTTATCGAATAGTAGCATTACTTTTTTAGAAAAGAAACCTATGCGAGGATGGACAAAAATAAGCAATGATGAACCCCTTTTGTTTTGTTCAATTCTTTTAAGTGCAATGGGTAATTTTTTTTTTTTCAAAAAATTAATGTAAAACCCAATATTAACAAAAAATGTATCAATGAATGGAATGGCATGTGATTGATCGTGCTAGTAATTTGTTAAGTGCAAAACTTATAGTTATACTTATCAAAAAACTATACAATATAATTAATTGATCTAAATTAATATAGGGTTAAGCAAATTTGAGTGAGATTTTAAGGGATACGGATGATAAATGGATAAACTTATTAAACTCATTTAATAAACGGATCGTATTCAAATAAAATATGTTAACTCGTTTATCATATATTTACTCATTTAAATAAAATTAATAGATTAATAATTACTTTTAAAAAATTTAGCCAAAATAATATATGCAGTTTAATAATTAGATTAATTAAAATTATTAAACAAGTTAAAAGAGTCAGTATCGTGTAACCTGTTTGATAAAGGAATTGTGTTCGATTTACAGATTTTCAGTCGTTTAATTAAACAAATCGTGTACGAGTTTAAATATTTTTTTCACACAAACCAGATTAGTCCCGATACGAATCTGCTTAACACAATACGGTTGACACTCCTAGTTAAAATTATAGTAATAGGCATGAATAATGAAAATTAAAATAATTGAAAAAGAATACCATGCAAAGCAAGTGACTATTATGTCATAGACATTTCTTTAATAAAAAGGAATTATCCTCCGCTGACTACATAGAGAATATAATGATCCACCTATTATTTTTATTTATTTATTGCAGACATTATCAAGATACAAAACTTATTTTATAGCAAAATTAAAAAAAAAATTAAATAATAATCTATGGAGCCGATCTGGATTTAACTTATACTTTCACTTTTTTCTGCTATTGAGATCGGCCTTGGGTAATCAGAGAAGGTACCACGTTGGGGGGTCCAATATGTAGTGTCGTATGGGGTGGTTTTTTTTTTTTGTTTTTTGGAAGAGGCCGTGTCGGGTGGTAGTATGTATCATATGTCCCCCGCGGCAGGCGGCTCAACAATATTAAAAGAAAAAGTTTGGGCATTTGGTTCTAAGTAACGAAAATTGGAACTAAGTCTTTTTTAATGAAATTATAATAATTTGAATTCGTCAAGAAAATTTATTTGGTGATTAATTTGTTTTTTATTTTAATAATAAGTGATGAGTCCGAATTTTACTGGATTAAGTCCAATTTAGATAAACTGAGAAAGTCCGAAGAAAAATCCAACTAAAGACGTAACTCAACAAGGAGCCATGAGGCCGAAAATTAACAAGGAGTCAAGTGGGCTAAAACACCAAAGGCTAACGCCCAAGTGGGCGTCGCCCATGGCCAGACCGTCCTGGTTCTTGCCTCCTTGTCCCTCTTCTCTACTCCAATGCAAGTCCAAGCCCATACTACTCCAAGTTTAAGTTCAAGATCAGAATCAGCACAGCTCAAGATCATCTTCCGACGAGAATAGGGACACAAGCGAGAGAATATCGGAATGCAAAGATTTATTCCTATTAAGATTATACTTACCAAGATAGTGGAAGTCCCCTTCCTTACGTCACCGTCTTGGTGTGTCTATATAATGTAAGTCTTTTATATTTAGAGGACATGCCTTCATAGTCTTGAGATCCCTACACACACTACACCTTCCTACACACATTGTTCTCTCTTTCCCTGTAAGTATTGTAATACTCTTAGAGAATACTCTTTCTGGTGACCTCACCCATTAATAAAAAGATCCAAGCCACCGCTGCCGTTCTCGAGAGTGGAGTAGTTCACTCGGACCGAACCACTATAATTTTCTGTATTGGCTCCTTATTTACAATTTCATTATTTATTGTTTTATTTATTGCTCATTAACTCCATCCATTCATACACTTGATTCTTGATTTTGCACAAAAATTAATTTATGCATCATCAATAAGTATTTAAGTCCATTATTTTTTAAATCCTAAAAACATCATTAACAATGTTATTCTGCTTAGTCATAAAAAGTTAAAAACTTTGAAGACTTTGACAGTAGATTTAAATTAATTTTTCAAAGTTGAGAATTATTTTCTCTTAATTTACTCATAAATTCAAATTTAAATTCATATGCTCTCTCTTTCTCTCTCCCCGATGTATCATCACTCTAGTGCACTCTTCCTCCTTAAAACACTTTTATTCTATAGAAAAAAAAAATGAAGTAGAACACAAGGCATGTTCGCCATATAATTGAGAGTGAATCTAATCATATAATTGAGAGTACAATGTCAACAATATGATAATTTAAGAAATTTTATTTCTTAAATTACCATATTTTTATCTCTTTTTTTTTTCCAAACTTTATTTGTAACAAGGTTTACAGTACAAAAAATTAGAAAGGGTGATTACTGTCAATTTACTTTTGGCACCAGCAAAGAAGACATGTTCCTTTTAATAATTAATTAAGCTAAGATTCCCCTTTTGGTGTGTAAATTAATTTTAGTTCTATCAAATTTTTAATATAAAAAAGTCCTCCAATTTTGGAAAAAAATTGAATGCAATCCTGTGTTGACGAAAATGTTAAGGGATTGTTTAGTAAGAGATTGTTTAGTTACTGATTTTTATTACCTATTTTACCTTTATCACATGATTTTAGTTTAAAATATAATTAGTTTTTTTTTTTGTTATTGAGATTTTTACAGTGTTGTCTATCAATTTTTAAATTCAAAATCGTGAACCAAGCTATTTGGACATTATGATAACGTCTGACGATCTGTGTTTTAGTATACCTGTTTGACGATTTGTATTTATGAAAAAAAAAATATATTAATAATTTATATTTTAGTATATTTGTCTGACGATATGTGTTTATAAAAAAGAAGGTACATTAACAATTTGTATTTTAGTGTATCTATCTGACAATTTGTGAAAGTATACAATTCTAAGGATTTGTAGTTATGAAGAATAAGGTATATTAACGATCTATATTTTAGTGTACTTATAATCTGTGTTTCAGTGTACTTGTCCCACAATTTGTGTTTATGTAAAATAAGGTACATTAACGATCTGTATTTTAGTGTATTTATCTAATAATTATTGCGTATCTTTTTTTTTTATTGCGTGCCTATTATTTTTTAGCTTGAAAATGTATATATTTTTTAAATTGTGTATCTGTCTTACAATTTGTGTTTATGGAGAAAATGTACATTATGAAGATGTAATTTTTTAAATATGTGTTTAAATTAGATGTTGATAATGTCGTTATTTTTTGTAATTATAAAGGACATTAGTTATGTCTATTATTTTGACTTTTCAACAAAAATTTAGGGTTCGTTTGGTAACGTTTTTGTTTTTGCGTCTTCAAAAAATCAAAACAGAGACAATTTTTTGTCTTTGTTTTGTAGTAAATATTGAAACAGAAAACATGTTTGATAGTCATTTTTGTCTATCAAATTATGAGAATAAAAACAAAAAATATATTTGGTAACTACTTCAAGTTTTGTCATAAATATGTTTTATAATATCTCATTTTTTTTCAAACAAATTAACACTTTTATTTCATAATATGGACAAGATATCCAACATTTGGTTCAATCCACTCCAAAACCTATTCAAACATCATTTTAAACCAATCCAATTCCATATGATCAAGTGAAATCCAATCCAGAGATATCTCATCTAGCAAACAAGCAACAATTAAACAACAGTAAAAGTTCAATATGACTTAAGTACAGCTCTCAAGAATAATATTTTGTCATGGCATTGGAGCAATTCTAAAATTTTTTTTATTTTTTTGGTAAAAAGAGAAATATTATTGATAAAGGACAATATTACAAGAAGCAGAAAAAGCAAAGCTTTAACAACAAAGAAAAAGCCAAAGTTGGCTTTAATTCTTCAAAAGAAAGACAAAAAAATGCCTTTATCCAAAGTCAACATTGCCCAGTATCTCAACAGCAACAAGACCTACATCCACCTTAATAGCACCCCAAAAGCAATGAACCTGTTGGAGACGCAAAGGGACATAAGCCCAACTGAAAATCAGTTGAAGACCCAATTGAAAATCTGATTAAAACCAACTGGAAATCCAGCTACAACCAGCTGCAAAACACCATTAAGAACCGAGCAGAGCAGTTACATGAAAAAAGCAAAATTCAACTGAACGGAACCAAGAATTCCCAGCTTCAGAATCCTAATAACAATAGTAGCCATCATCAATGAAATCCCATAAAGTAGTAAACCAGCTGAACACCAGATGAGAGACCCCCAAGAACCAGCTGAAATGCCAGCAAGAGCCAAGTTGATACATCAACAAAACAGACAGTGCACATGAACATTGGACGTGAACAGTGCATCCCAACAACAAAATGGATCATGATGAAGCAGCTGACAAACCATCAAGAGCAGCTGAGGAACCAACTGAGAGCCAGCAGATGAACCACTAAAGCACTTGGACAAAAAGCAGTAGCATTAGAAAACCAACTGTTCACGTGAACAGTCGCATGAATAGTGCACAAAACCCAAAGCAGATAGAACAATCAACAAAATAAAGAGTGATTATGCACCAAGCTCCATGTCCTGACAAAAAGATTACTGCAGCACAATCCAACACCTCACATAAACCGAGGATGATAGATGAAAAGAAGAAAGACCAACATAAGTTGGCTTTAATCATTCTACATGGATCAAGGTGTACATCAAATCCAAGTAATGCATTGATAGATAAAAGAAAAAGGTGAAAAGAATAAATGTAACCATCATCAATACATCATCATCCTAATATGAACATCACAGATAATTTCATGTATTGACAATTGAAATGCCATAACAGATAGTCCAATTACAAAAAAAGAAATTCTACTAAAATTCTAGCTGATGCTCAAGTGAAATGCAGGCTCCAAGTTGCAGTCGAGGAAGCATGACAATGGTACAGTCGCACAAATAATAGACATATCTTAGATGGATAGACAAGGGAGCTTGATTAAATTCACATCATCTGCAGTTTTGAGACCTATGAAGCAATCCTAATCAATTGTTATTTAGTAAATATAAAATCCAAGATTATTCGACCATTCTAATGCATTCGCGTACAATATAAAGCTCCCTTTAATGGCCAAATAGGCTTATAAGGGATGTATACTAGGTTAAGGATTCTCTAATCCTTATGCTTGTTAGTGCTCTTTTGCAATCATTATTTATGAATTATTTAATCAAATTCAATCCATAGATTCGACAAATTATTCCCTATCGGGAACAAAATTGACAATGACTGATAGAACAAGCACACGTCTAATTGAAACTTCATTATGACTAGTTGAGCTAAATCCTGAAAGCAAATTAGAGAAGTTTCTACTGACAATCAACTTGATGATCTACCTTTAAAGCCAGATAAAAAACAAAAATAAAATTAAATATCAGTTTGATGAGTTTCTTAACAGAGACAAATGTCCAAGCTGTTCTATAAAATATACAGGAAATTGTGCATTGAAATATGGTCTGTAAAACGGAATCTAATGAATGGTTTGCAAACAAAACAAATGCAAAATCGAATCTAATGAAGGATTTTCGAATAATTACCTCAAATTATATAATTTCGCTTGGCATTAAACATAAGATTTCCCCAACGTTGATGCCCACAAATGTAAAACCACTTATACAATTTAAACATATTTTTTGAGATAGCAAAACTAGAAAAAAAAATACGATTAAAGCACAAAATCGTACAAATCTATTTAGATAAAAAAATATAAAAAAATAAAAAAATGATTAGGGTCTGTAATGTACAGATTTATGTAGATCTATGCATATATATACAGATTTATGTATATATATACATATATGTATACAATGAAAGGAGTTATACTTACCTTCTTCGTCTTCGGCTTTGAGTCGTCTTCGTGTGAGCCTTGCAAGTATTTACGTGTAAGCCTTGCTTCGTCTTCGTCGATCTGTGAGTGGAAGAGAGAGAGAACTTCCGAGAAGAAAGACGTATTGAGAGAGAGACGAGGAGAGACAGTCGTTGCTTACCTTCACAAAAGAGAGAGAATGGCTGAGAGAACAGAGAGTGACTGAGCGACTGATTTGTGGGAAGAGCAAGAGTGGTTTAGACAAAAAAGATCCCATATTTATAGCCCCTGTTTTGAAGTGGAATTTTGTGGCTAACAAGAGTCGAAGATAAGACCTGATTTAAACAATCCACGCGTGTTTTCTGTTTCGTGTGTTTCTTGGAACAAAAATTTTTTGTCCCTATTTTTTTGTCTTTGTCTCCAATACAACAAAAACAAAACAATACCAAAAACAGTAAACAAACATATTTTTGTTTTCATTTTAGACAAAAATTAAAACAAAAACACAAAACTCATAATAAAGACAGTTACCAAACAGGGGCTTAATTTTTTTTTTTCCCGGAAGACAAATAAACACACACACACAAAGTCCACACATCAAATGGCTCAAGCAGGCAGAGAGGTACTCACAAGCCCACATCATTCGGAAAATTGCTGATCGGAGGGAAGGAGAGTAGGCCACTTATACCTAATTCACAAAAAAAAAAAAACTGGTGAGTGAGGTTTTTATGAAATTTTATTCAACCTGTGACCGGCCTCCAAATTTCTCTAATTAATTGAACCATAAGATGACATTTGTTGAAATGAGGGTGATAAAAGGAGTGGGCCTTCTTGACCTACTCTTAATCGGCTTCTGGACTTGGGTGACGATTGGTTGCCCACTTGCACCAAATGGCCCACACCCATCCATTATGGGATTTACGTCTTATCATTATTCCTTAGTGTCACATCCTAACTAACTTGGGTGCAAATGGCCGGTCTTGGTGGCACCTTGCACCAAGGGATGCCATAAGTTGGAATCAAGGTGATGCGGCTAAGTGGTTCGACAGATTAGGGCGAACCAAGGCAGTATGAGAACACCCAGTTGAGCATGGCAACACGTGGTGGGCTCAATTGAAACAATGTGGGTGCATAGCTTTGGATTGCATGGCATGGGTTAAACCCAGCATGCACATTGGTTCGTGTAGTCAGACTGACTGCTAAATGTGGGCACTTGACTGGCACATGGCTGCTGAATGTGGGCACTTGACTGGCACATGACTATTCAATGCATGTGACCAGGAGGATGTGGGCGGTTATGATGCTGAGACACAGTCAAGACAGTTGCTGAGGTAGTTTTGGGCATCCCTAGTCTGAATCCAGTCTAGATGCATGTTGATGAAGGGCAGTTCCACAACAGTTACTGAAAGTGGTGGAACTGTTTGCTAGGTGTCGCACGGAGACCAAGCCTGCTAGCCAGTATGCTATGGAATAGCAAAAACGTGTGTAACTACCCCTTGGCAGATGGGGGTGTCATCTGCCTTACTCCTATATAAATAGGGGTGCTTGAGCATTCTGATGAGGTAGAGAGTGTTCTGCCTTTGAGAGTCCTTGTAAATTGTTGAGTTCAATATATAAGGTTTGAGAGTTTTGTCCCAGTAAACTCGTGTATGCCTTCTGTGTGAGTTTCTGTCCCTTATTCTTGAGTTTGAGTGTGGCTGATTGCAGTAGCAACGCCTTCACAGGTAGTCTCGAAGGAAAAACGAAAGTTAGTTTGTGACAGTTTGGTACCAAAGCGTGGTTTTGGCAACAAATCAACTATGGCTGGCGGAACGAATGTTGATCTGAGGGAAAAGATGGCACGTTTGGAGGAATTGGTTGGTCCTCCACAGTTCGGTGATGCTATGGCTCTCTTTGTGCAACTTGAGTTGCTGTATCAACGGTTTGAAGAGATGCGGGTTGCACATGAACAACTTCAAAAGACTAAATCTGATCACTTCAGTTGAGTGAAGAACGAAGTTTTTGACGTGCTGACTATGATCTCCAGGTGGACCGATGATATGGGAGAAAGATTGAGTTCCCTCGAGACAGACGTTTCAGTGCTCAAGAAGGCACTGAAGAATGCTTCTTTGGCTTCTGGCAGTGAAAGCACTCTGAAAGCCAAAGTGTCTGACCCTAAGCCTTTCACATGCAGTCGTAATGCTAAAAAACTCAAAAATTTTCTGTAGGATATGAGGCATTACTTCAAAGCAGTCCGCACTTCGGATGCTGAGAAGGTAGACCTCACTAGTATGTACCTATCTGGTGATAGTAAATTATGGTGGTGAACACGTTCTGAGGACAAATCTCGTCCATCAATTACTACTTGGGAGTCTCTGTCCACTGAAATGAAGGAGCAATTCCTTCCTAGCAACACGGCTTGGCAAGCCCGTGATGCATTAAGGAAACTTCGACATACAAGCACCGTGAGGGAGTACATAAAGCAATTCTCATCTCTGATACTTGACATCAAAAATATGTCAAAGGAAGACAAACTGTTCAACTTTATGTCTGGTCTCCAAACTTGGGCATAGGCAGAACTTCGTCGGCAAGGGGTGAAGGACTTACCCGCTGCTATGTCCGCAGCAAATGCGTTGGTTGACTACAAAACACAGGCTAACCCTCCAAAGAAGGAGTCGAAAGGGAAAACCAAGTTCCCTAAGAAGGACAAGCAGAAGAAAAAGGCTGAGAAGTTTGGCAATTTAGAAAAACTGACTGACAAAGCCTCTTCATCAAAGGGTGGTGTTGACTCAGGCTGTTTTATCTGTAATGGCCCTCATCGTGCCAAAAATTGCCCCAAGAAGGAAAAACTCAATGCCCTCATGGCTGAGAAAACTGACTGTTCTGACGAACCAACACGAGTCAACCCATTACAACTCCTTAATGCAATTCGCAAAGAGGAGACAGTGGAAAAGAGGGGGTTGATGTTTGTGCAGATTCGCCTGAACAATGTGACTGTCCAGACAATGGTTGATACAGGTGCAACCCATAATTTTGTTTCTGATCGGGAAGTACAGTGGCTTGGTCTGGTTTTGGTGAAAGATTCTAGCTAGATTAAGGCTGTGAATTCAGAGGCAAAACCAGTAGGCGGCATCGCAAGAGAAGTCCCTTTAAAAGTTGGTGATTGGCAAGGATCATGTGATTTTATGGCAGTCCCTCTCGATGATTTTCAGGTAATCCTTGGACTGCAATTCCTTACAAAGGCAAATGTGTCTGTTATGCCACATTTATATGGGATGTTCGTGATGGATATGCCCAATCCCTGCTTTGTTCCCCTCACTAAGGCCAAGTCTTCGGGAAAAATGTTGTCTGCCTTGCAAGTAAAAGATGGCTTGCGAAAGGGGGAAGCAACATACTTTGTTGTTCTATTTGAGGAAGAGGAGTCCAAAGCATTGCAAGTCCCTGAACCAGTGCAACAATTGCTGGTTGAGTTCAAGGACGTGGCACCTAAAAAATTGCCAGCAAGGTTACCGCCAAGACGGGAGATTGACCATGCCATTGAGTTGATTCTAGGGGCAAAAATCTCTGCCTAGGCTCCTTTATCGAATGTCTCCATCAGAGTTGGCGGAGCTAAGGAGACAGCTTGGGGGTTTATTGGGCATTGGGTTCATTTAACCTTTCAAGGCACCCTATGGAGCCCCTGTTCTGTTTCAGAAAAAAAAGATGGATCCTTACGGCTTTGTGTAGACTACAGAGTGCTCAACAAAGTCACTGTCAAGAACAACTATCCAGTGCTGCTTGTCGACGAACTATTTGATAGATTGGGAAAGACGATTTTTTTCACCAAGATGGATTGCGGCTGGGATATCATCAAGTCAGAATTGCAGAGGGAGATGAGGCGAAGACTGCTTGTGTGACAAGGTACGGGTCATATGAATTTTTAGTTATGCCTTTCGACTTAACCAATGCCCCTGCTACATTCTGTAACTTGATGACCAATGTATTTCAGGAATACTTGAACCGTTTCATGGTGATTTATTTGGATGACATAATTGTTTATAGCCAGACTCTTGAGGAGCATGTTGAGCATCTTAGGTTGGCCTTGACAAAGTTAAGGAAAGCCCAGTTGTATCTGAAACCAGTAAAATGTGAGTTTGCCCAAAAAAAATTTCATTCCTTGGGCATATTATTTCTACGGGCGTGGTGAAAATGGACCCGAAGAAAGTTAAGGTCATTGCAGATTGGTCTGTCCCTACTAAGGTTACTGAACTGCGTTCTTTCTTTGGTTTGACAAACTATTATCAAAAATTCGTGAAGAATCATTCAAAGAAGGTCGCGGTGCTGACTGATCTTCTAAGAAAGGATAAGACATGGAACTGGTCCTTCGAATGCCAGGAGGCATTCGATCGATTGAAGGTGATGGTGACGTCTAGCCCAATTTTACGCTTACTTGACTTCGATTTGTCTTTTGAAGTCCATACAGACGTATCAGACTTTGCTCTTAGAGGGGTGGTGGTGCAGAATGGGTATCCGGTGGCATTTGAAAGTAGGAAACTGAACGATACCGAGAGGCGGTATTCAGTACATGAGAAGGAGATGACAACAGTCATTCACTGCATCAATGCATGGAGGCATTACTTGTTGGGGAAGCATTTCCTTGTGCTGACAGATAATGTGGCTACCAGCTGTTTCAATTTCATGAAGAAGCTGACACCAAAACAAGCAAGATAGCAAGACTTTCTTTCCCAGTTTCATTTCACGTTGCAATACAAGCTTGGCAGTGCAAATCAGGTTGCTGATGCTCTTAGTCGAATCCCAGTTGCTGCACTTAGCCAGATTGCAGGAGACATACTGCAGAGAATTCAGGATCAGACAAAAGATGATCCAGTGACCAGTTTATTGTTGAAGCAGGTCCATGAAGCGGTGACTCGGCGGTTTTGGGTAGAGGATGGCGTTCTCTACGCCAAAGGAAGGAGACCCTATGTGCCAAAGTCAGGCAAACTTCGACAGATGTTGCTGAAAGAAACTCATGATGCTTTGTGGTTAGGACATCTAGGGCAACAACGAACTCTTGCCTTACTAGCAGAAAGCTATTATTGGCCCCGCATGGAAGTAGATGTGGAGCTGTATGTGCGCACTTGTTTGGTGTGCCAGTAAGACAAGATAGAGAGGAAGAAGGTGGCGGGTACTTTGGAACCCCTCCCTATTCCAAGCAGACCTTGGGAGAGTGTTTCCATGGACTTCATCAATGGTTTGCCTAAGGTGAACGATTTTACTTCGATATTTGTGGTTGTAGATAGATTTTTGAAGTATGCCACTTTCATTGCTGCCCCAAAAGTATGTACGGCGAAAGTTACTGCTCAGTTGTTCCTCAAGCATATTGTGAAGCTTTGGGGTCTTCCGTTGGACATAGTCAGCGACAGGGACACTAGGTTTACTGGCCGGTTCTGGACGACTTTATTTGAATTATTGGGCACACAACTCAACCTTTTCACCAGCAATCATCCGCAGACAGATGGGTAGACTGAGCGGGTTAATGTAATATTGGAGGAATATCTCAAACACTATGTCACAGCGAACCAAGACAATTGGGTGGATTTACTTGATGTAGCCCAATTCAGTTATAACCTCCAACAGAGCTCTTCCACTCAAATGAGCCCATTTGAGTTAGCAACTGACCAACAACCTCTTACCCCGCATGAAGTTGTCAAGCAGAAGTCTCAAGGGAGATGTCCTGCAGCGTACCGCTTTGCTCGGGCCAATCAAGAGCGGACCGATGAGGCAAAAGACTGTTTAACTAAGGCGGTGAAGAGGATGAAAAAGTGGACAGACGAGAAAAGGAGGGCAGTAGAGTTGTGATGCTGAAATTGACCCCACCAATCTGGAACAAGATCTCTCGAAAGTCGGCACACAAGGGACTAATCCAGCGCTATGACGACCCTTTCCTTATAACAATGAGGATTGACAGGTTGGCCTATAGGCTGGATCTTCCCAGTCGTCTCCAGCTTCATCTAGTTTTCTATGTTACCTTCTTGAAGCCTTATATTGAGGACCCGGAGGACCCTAACAGATATGTTCGGCGTCAAGCTCCTCCAACAATCAAGAAGCAATTCACAGAAATAGCTAAAGATATCCTTGACCACAAGACTGAGGGAATGAGCAAGAAAAATAGAAGAACTCATTACCTAGTTAAGTGGAAAGGGAAAGCACCGGAGGAAGCCACTTGGGAGAAAGAGACGACATTGTGGCAGTTCAAGGATCTCATCAAGCAATACCATGCCTCCATTCCAATGGGGTCATTGGATACTTCAGGTAGGGGTGGGGTGTCACACCCTAACTGACTTGGGTGCAAATGGCCGGTCTTGGTGGCACCTTGCACCAAGGCATGCCATAAGTTGGAATCAAGGTGATGCGGCTAAGTGGTTCGACAGATTGAGGCGAATCAAGGCAGTATGAGAACACCCAGTTGAGCATGACATCACGTGGTGAGCTCAATTAAAGCAATGTGGGTGCATAGCTTTGGATTGCATGACATGGGTTGAATCCAACATGCACATTGGTTCATGTAGCCAGACTGATTGCTGAATATGGGCACTTGACTGACACATGACTATTCAATGCATGTGACCAGGAGGATGTGGGCGGTTATGATGTTGAGACACAGTCAAGGCAGTTGCTAAGGCAGTTCTGGGCGTCCCTAGTCTGAATTCAGTCTAAATGCATACTGATGAAGGGCAGTTCCACAGCAGTTACTGAAAATGGTGGAACTGCCTGCCAGGTGTCGCACGGAGACCAAGCCTGCTAGCCAGTATGCTATGGAATAGCAAAAACGTGTGTAATTACCCCTTGGCAGATGGGGGGGGCTATCATCTGCCTTAATCCTGTATAAATAGGGGTGCTTGAGCATTCTGATGAGGTAGAGAATGTTCTGGCTTTGAGAGTCCTTGTAAATTGTTGAGTTAAATATATAAGGTTTGAGAGTTTTGTCCCAGTAAACTCGTGTGTGCCTTCTGTGTGAGTTTCTGTCCCTTATTCTTAAGTTTGAGTGTGGCTGATTACAGTAGTAACGCCTTCACAGATAATCTTAAAGAAAAACGAAAGTTATCCTGTAACACTTAGCAACTTCTGGCCCAATGTTCCCGCCTGAAATCGTGGACAAGGACAATATCTACAAAACCCATGCCATCTAGAAGATAGTGGCTGTCAGAGTATTATTTTAAAATTTATTCAATTTGTAATTTTGTACTCAAGTCATTTATAATTGGGTATAAATTGAATTATATTGTATCAAACCCCTTTTTTATATACATTGTATTTGGCGGGTTCATATAAATTTAGTAAAATTTATTTTGATAACAATGAGTCTTTAGTCTAATGGTATTTCTTACCTTATAAAAATTTTACCTTCTTGAAATCAAGAGTTTAATAAGTCTCCATTTCCCCTCTTCTCCAAAAAAAAAACAAAATTAAAAAAAAATAGTAAAATTTAATTTGAAGGGTGTTATGAATTTACTTATTTATTATTCAAATTTATTAAAATTAATTTTAAATTTATTAATATGGTATGGTCCGTATGGATTTGAAATTGAGTTGGCAAATTACAAATCTAGAATCATTCCGCTTAATGATACCGTTTTCTTCGATAATCTGTGTTCAGCTTGTTGCCCTTGTAGGAATTCAGTGTCTGTTTGGTTTATATCTTAAAAAACAGTATCTGAAAACTATTTTTGAGAAAAGTTTTAAAAAAATATTTTTAAAAATTTTTAGATTACAATTGATTATATATTTTTTTAAATAATTTTAAAAAACAAAAATTATAAAATTTGTTTGGAGAATAATCCATAATTCCCACCACTCTTCAACTCTATGTCTCTCTCTCTTTCAGTGTGTATCACCCAACACCCACAATCGAGAACCACCATCAACCAAACACCCACAACCACCACCAACCCCACAACCACTATCAACCTAACACCCACAACCATCATCAACCCACAACCCACAACTACCACCAACCCACATTGAGAATCACCTAACACCCATCACCCAAATCGAGAACCACTCAACACCCAGAACCCCACCACCAACCTGCACCGAGAACCACCCCAACACCCACAACCACCATCAAGGGATCTATGCTTCCAGTCGTCGGATCTGTGCTTCCAATCACCGGATCTATGGGTTGAAGATAAATCCCTGGTGTCGATGAGAGAGAGAGAGAGGGGTCAAAGAGATAGAGAGAGGTCAAGGGAAAAGAATGTAAAAAAAAAAAAAACTTTTATAGTGATACAATAAGTGCACAGTAAATAGGGTCCCCTATGTTTTTTGCGTTTTCACACTTTCCAAACAAAACCAAGTCTGACTTGTTTTTATGTTTTTTATGTTTCAAATCTCAATTTTTTCAAAAAATTTGAGAAAAAAAAATTATTTTGTAGATGATAATCAAACACGACCTCAATTTCTCTTTGGTTGAGAAGGTAGCAAAAAAATTTAGGTTACGGGTACAATACAACACTTGTGCGTAACATGGATTTTGAGGTACTCAAAAATAATTATTTTTTTTATATTTTTTCAAATAATATTATAAACGAATAATGTGGCGGTTTGTTTAATATGATAAAATTATGCTGAGAATGTTAAAAAAAATTAAACGTTTTTCTATCACTAATCACTAATTTGATTTTTTTTAAACGAAATTTGTTACTTAATCAATCAAATTATCCGACATTTAAAATATTATACACACTTCCTAAAATTTATAGCCATGTAACACTTAGACCCCTAATAATATCTGTTACTCAATGAAGCACGGATACTTCGTTCAGGTTGACGTACCTGTATCAGATACTGTATCGGATACAATACTTGTCGGATACTCGATGATACGTATCAGATACATCTTCTAAGTATCCAATAATAATTAAATATTATGATACTTCACACATACTTTTGTAGTCGAACAACATATATAATTTTTAAGTTAAACTTTTAACATCTCTTTTCGAATTTACATACCATACAATACATTAACAAAAAAATCATATTACTTCAAAGACACAAAAGTTTTTTTTTAAGTATTATCTACAATTACATATTGAAAGAGTATAAAATAAATCTATTATATTATAATCTTAACAAAAATTACTTCTAAATACTAGGTATATATTAACTTTGATTTATTTAATTAGTCACTTCACTTTGTGAATATACCACAATGACATGATATATATTTTCTTGAAACTAAAAAGAATTACTAATTTTATTTATTATATGTTAAAGAATTACCAAAATATATAAGTATTAAGTTGGTTGAAAATAATAAAAATATTAAATATATTTTACTATAGTCGTATCTTGACCGTATCCGTATCCTACTTTTTTAGACTCTGTCGTATCGCCGTATCCCGTATTTGTATCCGTATTTCATAGATGTTACTATATCTATTAATAAATTACATTTAAACCCTTTAAAATTTGTAAGCATATGATTCTTAGATTCTTAAAGTTTAAAATATTATATTTAGACAAAAAATATTTCAATCAAAAATTGACTATTAATTAGAATAAAACTAAAAAATTAAACAAATGATCAAACTATAATGAACATAATATATTAATTGGGGGTAATTTGGTAGTTTAAACTATCAAATTAAATTCCAATAGATAGTATAATTGTATATTAATTCTAATTTTTTAAGAAAAAATTAGATTTTTATTTTTAATTTTATTTTAATAAATATCATAATAAAATATAAATTTTAGTTTTAACATTTAAAATCTTTGGTATTTTACCTTTAATTGTAATATTTTTTATCTAACTATATTTTAAACCAATGAGCATTTAGTCTAATTAGTACTCCTTATTTTATGAATGCTTTGCGTTCAAGTGTCCTTTTCTCATCCTCTCTTTCAAAAAAAAGGAGAAAAAAAGTATAATATTTTAAATTTGAAGAGTCTAAGTATTACACGCTTACAAAATACAGGGAGTCTGAATATAATTTATTAATGAATATTGATAATAAGAGTGTAAGTGTTATATACGTACAAACTTTAAGAGATTTGTAAATAATATTTTAAATATTAAAAAATTTAAATTATTAAGCAACACATAAGGATATAAATGTAATTCTCTCCAAAAAAAAAAATCATCATTCGTCTGGTTTTATCCACTTCTCCGGCATTTGGGTCTCGTCTACTCCTCTCTCTCCTCTTGGTTGAGAAATGGCGTCCTCTCTATCCAGCTATGCTCACATACCTCCTCCTGCAGCTCATAGTCTTTGTTCGAAGAAAGGGGGAAATCTCTCATCTTCTATGCTTTGCGGTTCAACTCTCAATTTGTCTTCTAAACTATCCCTAAACATATCTCTTCAATTTCTTAATACTAGTAGCAGCCAAAGTCTGGTCCTCTCTTCTCCAACTGCAAGGTCGCTCACTGTCATCTCAATGGCTCCCCCTAAGCCTGGTGGTAAACCCAAGAAAGGTAACTCATTCACTCCTTATTCCGTTCTTATACCCTATTGGGGGAATTTATTTATTTTTTGTGTATATAATTCATTTATAGATGGATTGCAGTTACCGGGGTGATAAAGCTGGCTCTGGAGGCTGGGAAGGCCACACCTGCACCGCCTGTTGGGCCTGCCCTTGGTTCTAAGGGTGTCAACATTATGGCTTTCTGTAAGGATTACAACGCAAGGACTGCCGACAAAGCTGGTTATGTCATTCCTGTCGAAATCACCGTCTATGATGTGAGTCCTTTTGCTTTTGGATGACATTTTTTGCAACATTGTCTATGTCCATTTTGAGGCTTCCCTTTTGCACTGGAGGATTTTGCGTTTAATTTTTTTTTACCTTCATTGGAGGGTTGCTTTCGCTTTTTGTACGTGTTTTGGGTTTATGCCCTTCTTAACACTCTGGTCATTGGTCCTGTGTGGCACACTTATGATTCCCGCTCAAACGTGTATGATGCATAGAGTTATGATTCGTTTCTTGTAACGTGCAGGATAGGAGCTTTACATTTATTTTGAAGACACCTCCAGCTTCAGTCCTGCTTCTTAAGGCTGCAGGTTCTCTAATTTTATGAAGTGTTAACCAAATGTTGATTTTTTCTTCTATTGCGTAGTTTCAACTCATTGCACTTAATTTTTATAGGATGAACTTCACTGAGTTCAGCTGATTTCTGGCATAGAACCTTTTAATTATCTGATTGTATTTGTATGATCTGCTATAATTTCTGTCTGATTCGCCTCAGAAGTTCAGGAATTAGGTTCCATCTCTTGATTTATAATGATCCATTAGCCATTTAAGTGTTGAAATTGGCAATCAAGATTGTTGAAAATGGATTTGATTTTTTTTTTGGTTTTCTGATTCCCAAAATGGTATTACCATTTGTTTTTTCATTCTCAAGATCACAATGATCTCACTAAAATTTTAGCAAAATATTTCGAGAATGTTACCTATCTCTCAAATTATAGGCATTGAGGCGATCAAGCGAGAGAAAGAAAGAAAGCTATTGCACATGTGACACACCCTTCATTCGCCCTTTGGGGCTTTTGAGTGTCCGCAAGCCATACCCATCTAGTACATTTTCCATTATCAGATTACTTGTGTTTGTTTTTGTTTCTGAGCTGGCTCAATTTTGTGGTTGAGTTGTGACCTTGATCTTGTACAACATTTAGCTGCGTCTCGATGAAGAATTTTGGGAAGTAAAGAGCCCCAGGCTTTAATTTGCCTTAACACAGACTTATTAATTTTTAGGTTCTAGCCTTCTAGGGTTGCTACAGAATTGATGTTAGGTTTTGGTTTTGGACAATTCTACTGGAATGTAACTTATTGAAATTGTCCTTGCCAATACACTAGAATGTGTACAGGGAATGCCAAACATGATGGTGAATTTAGAATAAATTGCCTTGGACACATGAAGGAGAAAGTGATCAATAACCTTATCGTGACTGGATAATGACAATTGACTTGCAAGTTTTCAGTGGTGATCCTTCTTTGTTTTTTTTTTTTTGGTGTTTTAACTTGCCTGATCCCACCATCCAAAAAAAAAAAAAAATCCCCACCAACGACACACCAAGTGAACATTTTTGTAAGTTTGTATTCTCAAATTAACATGTTTGGTGTTTGCTTGCTTTTTGGGTGTGCACAAGTAAAATCAGTCGCCAATATGCTTTAACGCCATTCCTTCTTATAATTGTTTCCTTTGTATGTTTTATTTTATTTTTGGTTTGATTTTGCTATGGGCTTGCTTTTAAGTTATTACGTAAGACAAACACACTTCAAGACATATACTTCAAAGCAGTCAATAGACCGACAATGCTATACAATATAGAGTATGTTACTTGATAGAGCACAATGGAGAAATAGGTTTTATGTACCCGACCCCAAATAGTTAGGATAAAGGCTTTTATCGATTTGAGCTAGTTGAGTTTATACTCCAAAGCATGATTTGTAAAAGATGCAATTCGAAAGCATCACTTCATTTATGACTACTTTCTTATGTTTTATCATGCATTAACGGTCTAATGGAACAATTAACAAACGTCTTGTATGCAACCCTATATGGGCATATTAATCTCGTCAATACTAAAGAAATCAATTAGCGTTCTATATTTGTTGTTATATAATAGTTTTTTGGTGATGATCATAGAACAACTACATTTTTTTTATTCTTTGTGTATATGTGTGTCTAGGTATTGTATTTGTTGGGATGCATTACCTAGGAAAAATCCTTCTATTGAGGAGTTGAAATCTAGGAAGCAATACAATTGTTTTAGATACTTGGATTCAGGTTATTGCTTGTTCCAAAAGGGATACTGACACAACAGTGAACGAGGGACACAAAGAGATTACCGTCTCCAAGTGCAAAGAACAAAATACTCTGAATCTACAAACAAGAACAAAAGAAAGCTCTCAAAATATTGTATTATTGAATTGATTAACTGAATAGAACTACAGTACATAGGGTAATTCATAAGAATCCACAAACCCCTAAAGGTTTCCAAAATGAATCTAAATTCCTAATCTCAACTTTAAGAAAGTTACCTAAAACAATAAAATACATGTCTATTGACTTAGAAAAATTGACATGGTTTAGGCAACAAATAACCCTAGAATATTCCTAATTAACTCTTAACAATAAATATTAAGTTATAAAAATATTCATTATTTTTAAATGAAGTTATATATAAAAAAGCTTGCGAGCAAGCTTGCCCAATAGGCTCGCGGATAAACTACCCTTACTTGAAGCCTGGTTTGGCCCGCCCAATAATTCACTTAGGTAAGAGTTTGAGTCTACACTACACAGGTCCGACCTGAAAAAGAATTTGCGGGCCTAGTTCGGCCCGACCCACGGACTCCCCTAATCAGACACAAGAAAGGAAGGTGTATAAATGACTATACTTGCATTTTTTTTTAATTAGAAATATGAATTGTTGTCCTTAGGTATGAAGTTTTTTTTTTTTCCTTTTTGTAGATATCTTGTAGCTTTTCAAATCTTAGACATGTTAAAACTTGATATAGTGCAAACAAAATTTGAATTCTTGCATTTGATTTCTTAATTAAAGAATTTATGAACGCCTGGAATATAGTTAAAGATGGTAAGTTTTATATTTTGTGATATTTACATGTTTGTCACTGCAGTTACAACTCCTTTGAGAAATGCTTTAATGATGCTAGATAAGATACACAGTGGCCATCTTGTTTTTCCTTTTTGTTTTTTGGGCATCAAAACTTAAATTTATCTGATTAAGAATCGTGTAACCATTTTTTGTCTGTTAAATTGTTGGCATTTTCGTTACAAGTCATCAGTTGACATCACTTTTCTTAGCTGATTATAAATATTTGGGTTCATGTGTTTCGTTTTTATACATCATTGGATCATTCATAATAGTTTCTGCTCCCATAAAGAGTCAGAAATTTTATCTCCCGTTAATTTTATCATAGAATAACTAAAATAATGAAGTACATCAACTGGAATTACCCCATTTTGTTTCGATAGAAGCACGTTTCCTTAATGATAGGAAATGCACATTAGAGCCAGACATTTACTTTGTAATGGCGTACTGAATACCAAACCTTCATTACATTACAAAGGGGCTCTGAAATTACTAGAGAATTTGAACAATATTAAGTATACACAACTGCATCCCAAATTGTACTCAACTCAACAAAACTTTGTCCTAATATTTTTGGGGCCAGTTTCATGAATCTTGTTTCACCATTGTGCTCTATGAAGGGTCATGTTTTTTTGTTAAATTATAAATTAGCAATCTTTCTTTCCTATTTTGTTTAAAGTTAATTTTGGTCATCATTTACTCATACACTTACCGTCAATAGCTATTATATCACTCTTTCTCATTAGTGTCATAGTTGGTGTCTATAAATATTTTTAAAGTCAATTCTCCCTTAATTTATCTCTTATATGTGCGACCCCTACTTTTTCACGGATATATTCGATCTTAATTATATCCTTTCTAGTTTTACCGCACGTTTATCTTAACATTCTCATTTTCGATACTTTTAATTTTTGAACATGCTCTTTCTTTGTTGCTCAACACTCAATAAAGCATAGTGGATCTTCTTGCTTAAACGTTATGCATCTATCACATAATACATAGGATACATTCCTCTATTTAGTCCATCCTACATTAACTCTATTGGTAGCATCGTGACCATCTCACACTCTTTATGAATAATACACCCTAAAAAAGTGTTTACTCTTCGATATCTCTTGATCTTTAATTTTTTTATTTCTTATTTTCGATTCCTCTTTTTACTAAAGTTACATTCCATATAGTCGGTTTTAATTCTACTTATCCTAAATTCTTTTGATTTTAAAGCTTTTCGATCTCGCCATATGACTAACTTATTATTAATTCTTTCTTTTCTTCCATCAACAAATACAATACTGTCCCCAAATAACATACACCATGGGAACTAATCCTGAATGTATCTAGTCTCTCCTGGCTTTCTTCTCACTAAAATCACTATATCTTCATACATATCCTTTATCACATCAATATATCTAACATTAACATTTTTCTTCTCTAAAACTTCCTTAATATATCTCTAGGAACTCTATCGTATATTTTTCTAAGTCTATATAAATCATATGAAGATCCTTATTTTTCTTCTTGTACCTTTCCATTAGTTTGCGAAGTAAGTATGTAGCTTCCATTGTTGATTTCTCAGGCATAAATTCAAATTGAGTCTCAGAAACCATTGTTTTAAACCTTAATCTTTGCTCGATCACCCTCTCCCAAAGTTTCATTGTATGACTCATTAGTTTAATGGCTCGATAATTTGTGCAACTTTGTATATCTCCCTTGTTCTTGTAGATAGATACTAAAATACTCTTTCTTTACTCATCGGGCATTTTCTTAGTCATTATAATTTTATTAAATAATTTAGTTGAATATGATACCCCAAAATCCCCTAGACATTTTCTAATTCCAAACCTTAATAGGTATACCATCAGGTCCTAAAGTTTTTCCTACCTTCCTGTCTTTTTTAATCCTATAAAAAAATATGTTTTCTCTAATTCTCTATGATTCCTATTCAATGTCTAAGCTCTCTATATGATTTTTATTTAGTAACTTTTCAAAGCCAATTCTTACACCTTTAATTTACTCGTTTTGTACCAAAACCCTAGAGTCCTTTTTTTTTTAATACATTTAATATGATGAACGTCTCTAATTTTTCTTTTGCTTAGTTTAACAAGTTTATATATACTTTTTTTTCCATCCTTTGTGTCTAGTTTAGAGCAAAAATCATCATATGTTTTGTACTTATCATCTCTTATCGGCTATTTTACTTCTTTATTTGCAAGCTTATAATTCTACTATTCCTTTTAAACCAAACCACCAAAAAGTAGCCATAACCACGAATCTCTGAAACTCCCAAAAATTTTATAAAAAATATAAAAAAAACCCACATAAAATGCTAATATTACTGAACTAACTCAAAGCAACTAAAAATAAGACTCTATTTATGCTTATGCAAGCTCCCAAGTAGGCTCCTCATCATCCAACATCTGCCAAATTAAAGCTCGAGCCTTGGAAGCATCTTTTCCTCGCCTTTTATAAATTTTGTAAGGTTGTTGCCGTTTGTCCCCATCAATCTTTTTTTTTTTAATACATTTAATATGATGAACATCTCTAATTTTTCTTTTGCTTAGTTTAACAAGTTTATATATACTTTTTTTTCCATCCTTTGTGTCTAGTTTAGAGTAAAAATTATCATATGTTTTGTACTTATCATCTCTTATCGGCTATTTTACTTCTTTATTTGCAAGCTTATAATTATACTATTCCTTTTAAACCAAACCACGAAAAAGTAGCCATAACCACGAATCTCTGAAACTCCCAAAAATTATATATGCCACAATCTTAAAACAAGAGGACAATGAAAAAAAGGATGGTTACTGTTCCCACCACTACTTTTACCATAAAACACCAATAGGATCTTATTGTGACCAACAACCATGCAAAAACATGAACCTTGATGGTTAGTTTGGTAGAAGGGATGAAAAATAGGATAGATAAACTTGTCTTTTTCTTCCTTTTTGTTTGATATGACGGATGGAAAGTGGGGGGGATAAATTTTTCAATGTTTTATATGAGAAGAAAAATAGAGGGAAAAAACCAACATAAAAATTCAATTTACCACTTTGCCATTGTCAATTGACCATTAGTGTTTGACTTTAGGTGCAAAAATGAAAAAAAAAATTGTTTAATTTGCAATTTTATCCACAAAAAGTGAACAAATGCAATAATTGATAGATCACATGTATTAACCACATGTTAGTTTAAGAAATATTTCAAAATTGAGCTTTGCATAGCAGCCGAAGGATATTCAAGTAATAAGGGTATAAATGTAAATTAGATTTATCACAACATACTAGCCAACCTCTCTCTCCATTTTCTGCCCATATCTGGGAGGATTAAAAATGGTGGCCTCAGTAGAAAGACTTTCCATCCCATTTTCCCCTCAAACCAAACAATGGAAAATCCATTTTCCATCAGTCCATTTTCAATCCTATCAAACATCGGGTGAAGGAGGTAATGTTATGTTAAAAAAAACCATAGGGTGAAGGATACTTTAGCCTTCCAAATAATAAGGGACGTTTCAAATATAGGAGTACAAGGGTCATCAATTAGCGATTGAAAGCAAGATTTGCAAGAGTGCCTGAAGAGTCAAGAATCCCACATCTTTTTATCAGAAGACAAATAATCCAAAAATACCAAATCTAGAAGAGACAGTAATGAAGAAAGTTCTGCTGTAGTAGTTATTATACCTGGTGATATCTAGCTTCAGTTGTTATCCTCCAGTTTATAGAAAATGACCTTTTGTTCAGTAAGATACTGGTGGGAAAATGGGGGGAGAAAATGTCTATTGATATTCTCTAGCCAGTTTATCTCAAGCATGCTGCTAATTCATAACAAGATGTGCATTCCAAACCATTGATCACTATCACTCGTTTTGAATTCTCTTTTTCTGATGCCGCTCTCAGCTTTAGTTGTATTATTTTACTAATTGGGATAGAATGTAGTGACAATTCCCACATAACATTGCTGTGTGACTTGGTGATGAGTCTCCACTCTTTCTATGTGGATGAGTTTTTTCAGCATGACAAAGGAATTAACTCTATGTGTGAAAGAAAAACTACTGTCAAGCGCATGTTTTTGCCATCGAATTGTGATGTTGTTGTTAGATAACCACTGTTTAATAATGATGTTGATATTTAGGTGTGGAGAAAGGTTCTAAAGATCCTAAGCTGGAGAAAGTGGGGAAAGTCACGATTGACCAGTTGCGTGCAATTGCCACAGAGAAGTTGCCGGATTTGAATTGTTCTAGTATAGAATCAGCAATGAGAATTATAGCAGGCACTGCTGCTAATATGGGAATCCAAGTTGACCCGCCTGTTCTTGAACCAAAAAAGAAGGAACTTGTGTAGCTCTGTTCCATATTGGTTGTTTAGCTTTCAATTTTGGCCTTTAGGGTATGCGGTATGCTTACTCTACCTTTTAGAGTGACTGATTGTGCATTTTGTTCTGGTAGTGATGCACATGAATTGGTTCAAATTGTTGATGGGCTGTGTATTGAATTCGGTCACTTCAGTCTATCTGATTGAGATCGATTCCGATAAATAATGCTATCATTTGGAGGGTTGATCACAATCACGGGGAACCCTGGGAAATGTGTGACAAAAAGGAAAGAGCTTTAGGATTAGTATTTAGTAAAGAGGGAATTCCCCTGTGGAAATCTTAGGTGTTGGACCATGGGAAATGTGAAAGAGGGAATTCCCCGGAGGAAATCTTAGGTGCCGTTTGGTAATATGATATTTTTGTTTTTTTTTTAATTTCATTTTATGGAAAAAAAAACAAAAACAAAAATAAAAAGACGTTTAGTAAATGTTTTCATTTTTTTTTTCTTGTTCTATTTTGAAAATAAGACCAAAATATGAAAATATCTAAAATGATATTTTTGAAAACATCCAAAAAAAATAAAATAATAAACACTGAGTGCAGTATAAAAAGCCACTATTAATGACATACTGGCTTTTATTCTCTTTAGTAACAAAAATTGGATTTCAGTGCTTGAGCATAAAAAGTATTCATTCACTTTTTTTTTTTTCCATATCTGCTCTCTCTCTCTCTTCCTTTCTTGTCCTTCTCTATTTTGGTGATGATGATGGGTTTTGGGTGGTGGTGGGGTTAGATAGTGGTGGATTTCAAGGATGGTGGTGGGTTTCCGGGATGAGGGTGGGTTTTGGTGGGAGTGGGTTTTGAGGATAGGGGTTGATTTCAGTGGTGGTGGGATTGGGGGGCGAGGGGGGTTGAATTTCAGGGGTAGGTGATGGGTTTTGGAGAAGAGTTGTGGGAGTGTGTTTCGGTGGTGGTGGTAGGTGGTTGGGTGTTTGGTGGTAGTGTTGGGTGATGAATTTTTGGTAAAATAAAAATATATTTTTTATTTTTGTTTTTGTTTTTATAATTTTTTAAATATAAATAACTATTAAATATATTATATACTTTTAACTTATATAAAAAAAAAAATTAGTTTTATTTTTTTATTGAAAAAAAACACTTAAAAGTGAAAACGTTACTAAAGGAATCTTAGTGATGGACAAAACACCTTTGTCCGTTTGCAATGCTGTGAGACCAGACCATGGCCCTCTGTTGTTCTTTTTCTGTATTGACTATTGATGGAAAGTGTGCATTTCGAGGGCAAAAATGTAGTCAAATTCTCTCCACCTAATGAATGCACGTTATCTTTGTCTTCTTTTGGTCCAATGACTACGACGTGTGCGGTCACTTTCCATTCGGAATTGTTGAGAGTAAATAAGATCAAGGATTAATTAAAACAGAGAGTCCAAGTAGTGACTAATTCGAAAATGACTATTTAAAGAATATGATACTTCAAAAAAATCATGCAAGAATGAAGACAATGCTCAAGAGGGTAACAAAAAAATCATAAATAAAACTTATCAACTATTGTTATTTTTATGTAGTAGTTTTAAATTTATTTTTAATTATAATTGTAGATAAACAATAAGATTTAAATACATATGTATTACTTATAAATGTCACCATCTTCAAAAAAAAAAAATTTGATTTTTGATTTTATCCCTAATTATTATAATAAAATCAATTATATCTATCTATATATTTTCATCTAATCTTTATTTTTTTACACCTATTTGTCTTTCAACTTATTTTGAATTTTTTATAAAAACTTCTAAATTCTTTGAATGCATTTATTAATAATATAGTTATATACAATTATCTATATTTATATAAGAAGTAAAGTCCTATTATGTTAAATTATTATGAACATATTATATTTTATTTTTTGGCATGCAATAATATAAGAATATTACAAGCGATATAATCTATCTATTTAACAAAATAAAAATTAATAATTCTATAAATTAAAGATTAGTTATTCAAAAATTTATAGAATAAATCAATAATTAAATTTAATAATAGTTAATTATTCAACACCTAATTAATTATTTAATTTAATCATACATATAATTTATATTTTTATAAAAAATAATATTCTTTAAATTTATTTACGTGCAATGCATGTCATGCATTATTAATATATTAAAATATGCGAGTTAATCTATTATTTTATACTAAACAAAATCTATTATTTTATAAAAATTACTTAGAGATAAATTTGAAAGTTAGAGAAAAGTAATTAATTTTTTTTTTTTTTATTTTTTGGTCTCACAAGTAATTTAGTTTGATAGCTAGGGTATTCTAGTCTATTTTTAACAAGTACCCAAAAAATCCACAGCCAGGCCTCTACTATCTATCTATCCATCCATCCATTTCCTTTTTGGATTTTGATTTGGATTTGGATTTAAACATCTTCCTTGCAAAGAACCCTAGACTAGAGATACCACGACCACCACGACCACCACCACCACCACCACCACCACCAAGAGGAAAGTGTTTCACAGTGCTGCATATATGGAGTTGATTTGTTTTCCAAATTAAATTAAAATCAGTTCAATTGCCAAAGCTCTGAGCCTTGAACCACGTCTATTAAAAGGTAAACTTACTTCCCTTTCCCCTTTCCCCTTTTCCCTTTCCCCTTTCCTCTTTCCGTTCAATGACCACCATATGAATGTAAATTTGTATGTGTACATCTGCTTTACTTTTATTGCCTTTGTGAATGAAAAGGTAATGACGGAGATGTCCTTGATTACCGTATGGCTTTACGTATGTTGATCTAAAACAAATACTTTAGCCGGCCGTATGGCTTCTGGACCCTTCTTGTTGTCTATACGTTTTGGCATGCAATCCTCAATGCAACCACTCTCTCACTCCCCCCCTCTCTTTCTCTCTATGAGATCATGTATATAAACATTAACCATGCATGTATCGTTCAGTTAATTTTGAATTTTGATTGATGTTTTTGATATTGTTTCTGGTCTTTAACGAGTTTGGTGATGTTCTTATGAGGTTCGAATTTTTCTTACTAGCGGTTCCTCTGTATACTTGGGAGGGTAAGCTTGCTCTCACTGCTTGAATGGTTTGCTAGAGTTTGTCAAAGATGAATTCTATGCTGTTTGGTTTATATAAGCTTTCCAGGTTTATGAAGCTTAAAAAGCAACAATGATTTCATTCCTTGCTCGGTTATTCTTGTGTCTCATATGGGAAATCAAAGCTGTGTCAATTTGCTTACTTCTCTGATTGGATAAATCATATTAGGAAGATATATTTAAAACTAAACTTAGGAAATTGTTTGATGATGTTGATAATGTTTGGGTTGGAAACAAGGTTGTTGTGGTTAGTTTCTAATAAGTGCTCATGGAAGTAAAAAAGGTAGTGTATGGATTCTCAAATACAGTATTGCCAAGTTGACTAAACTATTATTTAAGTAAAGCCAGATTTTAGTTTTTATTTCTTTGCATTATAGTATCATGACTTCTTCTTGATGAGGCTGTTGTGAGAATAATGTGTGTTTTGTAAGGCTTGAGAATCATGTGATGCGTAGTTCTCTCATATATGTGACAGAAATTGTGTTAGAATAATTTGGCACTGGTACCCTTCTTAAGCCTAACTTATGTTAGAGTAATTTGGCACTGGTACACCTTAGATTTTTCATGTCATAACAACTGCAATATTGAGAAAAGTGACAGAATTTTTTTAATAAGAAACACAATTTCATTGATAGTCAAGACATTATTACAATAAAACCAAAACAAATGTGGACAAGTAGTCCAACACAAGTACAGGCCGTGAAAACATAAAAACAGTGATCATTCTACGAGTGAAACGATGTCTTCCAGCTTGTCTTGATACAAAAGAAAAAAATATCTTCAAAATCCTTAGACATTGAGGCCCAAAAGGTTGCCAAAATATAAATTCTATCCCATAGACCCTCAAGTTCTTTGCTCTTATCCTAAACCTCGTATTCCTTTCCTTCCAAATCACCTAAAATGTTGCAAAGAAAACACTATGCCAAATATTTTCCATTTTTTATTCCCTTCAAACCCCACATTGTCCATACAAATTATAGATAACATAGTCCTTCTAGCAACTCAAGAAAGCCCACAAAATCAAAAAGTTTCCATAGCGCTCGTGCCAAAGTCTAATGCAAAAAAAGGTGTGCAAAATTCTCAATTTCACATCTACACTTAACACATCATTGGGGTTGAAGGCATTAGTACTAATCTTTGCACTAGAAATTATTCATGCATAAATATGCACGAAGGTACTTTCACCTTCCAAATCTTCAATGATAGATCGAAAAAAGGAATTAAAAGATTATTAATTAATGACTCAAAAAAATATTTACAAGAAAGACCCCGTCGAATTACCTTTCCAATACTTTTTATCCTTAGAGTTTTGAACCAAAGTAACATTATTAAGAAAGGGGAATCATCAACTCTGAACACTACTGATGATTGAGATTCCAATGAAAACCAAAATCCCAAGAAATCGGATTAGAATATGATTGAGCCATAGATGCAGTCAATTAACCTTGATAACAAGAGACATGGTATAATCGTGGAAAAAGAGTACAGAAATTAGGCTTCCCAACCCGTATGTCCTCCCACAAACACATTCTAGTTACATGACCCACAATAAATTTGACTCTTTGAGAAAAGGAATGGAAACTCTGAGAAATGAACATCCACAGACTCTGAAAAGCATCGCTTTTAACCCCATTAGAATCTCACCTATTAGTCTGTATTCGTAATCTAGACTTACTTCTAATAACGATATGTCACAATAAATCTTGCTCTAAAGGACCTCTAGAGTCATTTCTCAACTAAGGTTACATTCATATTCACCAAATTTCCTATTGAAAGCCCTCCCTCATTTTTTGGTCTAGTTACCACCTCCTTACAAATCAAATGGTCCTTCCTACCATCTCTTACCCCTTCCCACAAAAAATCTTTCATTAAACCTTCAATTTTTCTAGCCGTTACTCTAGAGTCCAGACATTTTAAAAAGAGACATGAAGGTGAATAGGGATACTAGCAAAATTGATTGAATCAATGTTAATCTACCCCCTAAAAATAAAAGATTTATTTCGTCCATCTAAACTTCTTCTCAACAATGGGATCCAAAAAAGTCCTTACCTAAAGGGAGTCCTAAGCATTTTAGTGGCCACTCACCTGCCAAAAATCCCAACTATGTAGCCACTGTATTAACTGAATAGTGACAGAAATTGAAACGTCTTATTCAGTTAGTGTTAGGTCATGACGTCCCCACAAGTAGCAATCCCCTTACTCTCAGCAAATAAAAATGATGACAGCAAGAATAAATATAAATTGGTAAATGAAACTCAAAACTCACCCAATCTTTTCAATTTGACAAATGAGATCACCTTAGGGATCATCTGAGGTGATACACACTGAGTTATGTTTACTGTATTTATAGTAATTCATATTGATTGCTTTTTCATGTCTATTTGTGGTGTTTTTCACTCATTTTTGCATTAGATGTCGCATTATATCAAATAATACCCTTTTGCTTTAGCGCGTAAGCTGCATATTATGTTATTTTACTACTTGGCAAAAGGATTCCATTATACAAGAACAAATGGAGCAGCCGCTGATGCACCTGAAATTCTAAGCAATAGAATTAGATAAACAACCGAAAAGTGACACAAATTGAAACATCTTATTCAGTTGGTGTTAGTTCATGACATCCCCACAAGTAACAGCCCTCTTCCTCTCAACAAATAAAAATGATGACAACAAGAATAAAGATGGATTGGCAAATGAAACTCAAAACCCACCCATTCTTTTCAATTTGACAAATGAGACCACCTTAGGGATTGTTTGAGGTGATACACACTGATTTATGTTTACTGTATATATAGTAATTCATATTGATTGCTTTTCATGTCTATTTGTAGTGTTTTCCACTCATTTTTGCATTAGATGTCGTATTACATCAAATAATAGCCTTTTGCTTTAGCGCGTAAGCCGTATATATGTGTTATTTTACTACTTGGCAAACGGATCCATTATACAAGAACAAATGGAGATTGGAGCAGCAGCTGATGCACCTGAAATTCTAAGCAGTAGAATTAGATAAACTGCCAATTTTATTGTCACATATGACAGTGTGCGTTATCTGGTTTTTGTACCTTTACACCATTCATTGGTCCTCAAATTACTGGTAAGAGCCACCATAAAATATATTAAGTCAAACAAACATGCTCTGTACTGATGGAGTTGAGATGATGAAGAATCTGCTGAAGGTTTGTCTTGATCTGAAGGTTTTTTTGTTTCCTTTCAAAATTTGGCCAATAACCACTGTGGCTAGGGCTTCGAGGTTGGAACTTGGGAAAAGGGTCAGTCACCAGCGGGCCTTTGGTCTAATGGTATTCCTTACCTTGTGAAAGTTTTGCTTTCTTAAGGTCAAGGATTCAAGTCCCCCTTCCCCTCTCCTCTCCCTCCCCCCCCTCCAAAAAAAAAAAGAAGAAGAAAGAAAAGGGGAAATGGGTCACTCATGTGCCCACTTTGGAGATATATGGATATGATTTATTTCATTTTAGGAGTTTTCTTGAAGGATTTATTGGTTTTCTAAAGGAGTGGAGGTAATGCATTCAATTTAAGCATTTCCGTATCAGTAATTTGTTATGGACATGCAGTAATCATTAGCTGATGGTGTTGTAATAGTGTGCGGATAATTGGGTTTCTGTTCCCTAGTTTTTAGTATCCACTTTCTTTCGTTAGCTTTTCCATTATCTTTTGTTCTTGGGAAGTTGGACCACAAACTTAAGATTGGCTCAAGGCTAATCATTTGATGTATAATGTTTCTGTTTTGTTGTTAGACCTTACTCTGAGATCCTTGAGGGTTTTTCTTTTATCTTTATGTGGATAATAATTTTTGGAAGCTGTTGGGTATTATTGCTGGGAATCTTGCTGTTTTGATGAAAAGGTCCAGTTTGTTCCATAGATATTTATTTTTTGTGTTCATTTGAATGTATATTTACAGGTCAACTGCAAATTTTACTGACTTTAGCCTTTTACGCTCTGCAAATTTGTGTTGTATATCTACAGATTAACTGCAAATACGGTCGAATCATAATTTTGTTAATTGAATAACTGAGAGTCAGATACATATTCGTAGTTGCTTATTGATAATTTGATGTTGAAATTTTTAGATGGATGTATCAAATCCTGAACGTGGACATGTTATTGAGATTAGTAGAGATATGCCAGTCCTGGAGAAGGGGTCTGGTGGGAGTAAAATTTGTGGGGGAGCACCATGTGGATTCTCAGATGCCAAGTCCAGTTCTAAGGATGCAAAAGAACGTTCAACATCCATGAGGAAACTTCTTATCGCAGTTGTACTCTGCATCCTGTTTATGAGTGTAGAAGTTGCTGGAGGTATTAAAGCCAACAGTCTTGCAATTTTGACTGATGCTGCCCATTTGTTATCAGATGTTGCAGCTTTTGCGATCTCTTTGTTCTCCCTGTGGGCATCAGGATGGGAAGCTACTCCACGTCAATCTTATGGTTTTTTCAGGATTGAGATACTCGGGGCATTGGTTTCCATCCAGATGATATGGCTTCTTGCTGGAATCCTCGTTTATGAAGCCATTGCTAGACTGATCAACGGTACAGGTGAAGTTCAGGGCTTTCTTATGTTTTTGGTTTCTGCTTTTGGTTTGGTGGTTAATGTGGTCATGGCTCTCTTGCTGGGCCACGATCATGGTCATGGCCATGGCCATGGTCACGATCATGGACATGATGGGCATGAGCATGGCCAAGATGGTCATGATCATAGCCATGAAGATGATGATGATGTAATGCACAGCCAAGATGTAACCATCACTACGCATCATCACCATCATGTGGGACACTCTAAACATGAAGGGCACCACGATGCAGATATCATTGATCCACTTCTAGGTGGAAGTCTTCCTAAAGGTGGAGTTAAACAGAAGAAGCATAGGAATATAAATATCCAGGGGGCTTATCTTCATGTCTTAGGGGATTCCATTCAAAGCATCGGGGTGATGATTGGTGGGGCTATTATATGGTATAAACCTGATTGGAAGATCATTGATTTGATATGCACACTCATCTTTTCTGTTATTGTGCTTGGCACAACTATCAAGATGCTACGGAATATTTTGGAGGTTCTGATGGAGAGCACACCTCGAGAGATTGATGCAACAAGGCTGGAGAAGGGTCTCTGTGAGATGGACGATGTAATTGCAATTCACGAATTGCATATATGGGCAATTACTGTAGGAAAAGTATTATTAGCTTGCCATGTCAAAATTAAACCCGAGGCTGATGCTGACTTGGTGCTGGACAAGGTCATTGAGTATATCAGGACTGAATACAACATAAGTCACATAACTATTCAGATAGAAAGAGAGTAGCTTCATCGGACTGGTTCCTGTAACCTAGTTTTAAGAGTTCTACGTAAGGTGGGTAGGCAGCTCTTTAAAACTATAAATTCTTTTAATCGTGTGAAAGATCTGTTTCTGCTTAGTTGTCTTCTTTTCTTTTCCTTTTCTATATTTTGTGAAAAGATTATAATTGGGCTTGACAGTGCAGCGCTTTTTTGTCTCTCCTTGTTCTTGCCCTTGTGCAGCAGTGGATGTCAAAATCTTCTCTCTTGACCAGTTGATTTCACATAGTTATTGCAGTAGACAAGTGATTCTAGACACCGCTCATAACCATGGAGGTGACAATAGGGTGGGGTTAATGCTGTTGATGTTGATTCTTCAGCGGAAGGAACCATCATGTCCAAGATTGTTTAAGAATAACTTATCTGCACCATCGGTGAGTGTGAACTTTAATTGTGTTTGTATTTTGTGAAGTCTGGTTATTTTAGGAAGATTATGGTAACGTGATATTATTTACAATTCTTGATAATACTTGGTTTTGCTGAAAGTTGCTTATCTCTGGCTAAATGCTTTTTTAATTTTTATGTTCTGAATCTAGCAAGATGAATTTCCAAGTTCTTTGTACTATTTGAATCTCTGGAAAAAATGATTTCTATTATTTTTCCTCCAATTCTTCGGGAATGCTTTTCACCCCACTGAAGGATAGTGGAAAATGTAAATATTATTGCCCCCACCCTCCAAACACTTCCAAATTTAAAGGAAAAAAAAAAAATAACCCACCCAAGAAACGGAATGAACAACATAAATTAATAGAAGGATAATATTGTAATAATATTAATATTTTGAGGGTGCAATGTGAAAAAATTAATCTTTGAGAGTAGAAAGTAAAAATTCGTAAATCTTTTGAATGTAAAGTACAATTTCTCAAAAAAAAAAAAAGAAGATTTTTTTATAGGATCCCATATAATTGTACTTGAGTGTGCATGATTGCTAACCGAGTTTTTAATGATGGACTAAAATAGTTTGTTTTGGGTAAAAAAAAATTAAATTTCGTTAATTTTGAGCCTAAATTAAAGTTGACTCACTCATTTTGGGTATAAAAATTAAATTTTGTCAATCTATTTATTTCGAAATTGACCACTAACTATGATTTATTTAACATGGGGATATTTTAACTCACTTATATTCCAACAGAAATCACATACACAATTTTAATTTGTTTTAATGGTCTGTTACATGATTAATGTGAGAAATATTATTTAGTAATCTGCGTACGTTAAAGATCATTCGTTCATTTAGCAAGCACACGTGTGTGATTGTCCTAAAAAGTTGTGCTCAGTGAGAAGAGTTGAGGAACACATCCAAGCAGCTTTGGGTTGCAAGTCCTCTGTTCCAAAATTTTTCAAAGTATTCCTGGTAGGTGAAATTTCTGTAGACTGCTGGGTGATCATTGTCAACCAATAGCGGAGCAGGTCCTATCACAGCTTCGGGTGATGGACAGTAAAATGTGGGAATCGAGATTCGTTGTCTGTTGCAGTTGACAACAGCTCGATGAATAACACTCTTGTACCGATTGTTGCTAAGTACCTAATCCAGAGAAAGAGGAAAAATTCAGAACATGAATGCAAAATCATGCAATTTTCTTCTCTCCCGTTTGCTTGCATTGCTGTATTGGTTGGCTTATTATTCTTTTTAAGTTAACTCAGATCAGATGTGTATGTGTTTTTACCTGCATTTGGTCACCAATGTTGACAATGAATGTATTGGGAATAGGGTCGATGGCCATCCATTTTCCATTTCTGAGAACCTGCAATCCTGGCACATTATCTTGAAGAAGAATTGTGATTAAATTAACATCAGTATGGCCTGGCAATCCGTAAGTCAAGTCAGGCTCTGGACATGGTGGATAATAATTTATGGCCATGTGTTGCCCATGCCTTCCTAGTTGTTTATTTATGTAATTTCTCTCCAGGCCCAAGCTCTCTGATATGGCTTCAAGCAGTCTTAGTGCTAGGGCCCTTGCATTGCTGCAATACTCTGCTGCGTCCTTCCTAACAGTAACGAAGTACATTATTCGCTTAATTGTCAAATATTCAACTTGAAGAAACAGCTAGATCATACAAGAGTGTGTGTGTGTGTGTGTGTAATAAACAGTACAGAACTGATGTACTTTACTTGAAAGATGGAGGACTTGTGGGCCATTCATTTACAAAGTCCTCAAGCGGGTAACAATGGAGTCTTAAGAAATCCCTCCAGTTTGAGACCTTCTCTGTCCTGATGTTAAAGCTGGTGGACAGCCTAGTTGTCTTTAAGGGATCGTCCGAGTAAATCTTCAATCTCTCACTTTCTGGCAACCGGAAAAACTCTCCGGCTATACGTAACATGTTATTAACCAGAGACTCGGATATTCCATGGTTTTTAACCTGGTAAATAATGTAGGGAAATACACATGGTGATCATGATCTGAAATGAAGGTGAGAGAGTTGAGTGTCCCTTTTTTTTTTTTTTGGGAGAATTACATTCAAGTCTCCTGAAATTTTTCACTTAATCACTTAGCTAGTAGACATTTAAAATATTACATATAGATCCCCTGAAATTTGTACGCGCGTAACACTTAGACTCTGCTATAAATATATGTTAATAAATTATACTTAGATCCCCTGAAATTTGCAAGTATATAATACTTAGATCTTTTAAGTTTAAAATATTATACTTAGACAAAAAATACTCCAATTAAAGATAGAATATCAAATATTTTAAATTTTACAACCAAAATTTAAGTTTTATTGTATCATTTATTAAAATAAAAATAAAATTAAAAATTTAATTTTTTCTTAAAAAATTGTAATTAGTATACAATTATACTATTTATTGGAATAAAACTAAAAAATCAAACAAAGGGTCTAAATCATTTATAATAGAATATAAATTTTACATCTAAAATTCATATTTTATTATGTCATTTATTGAAATAAAATAGAAAATAAAAGTCTAACTTTTTAAAAAAAAATCATAATTAATATATAATTATACTATTTATTAGAATAAAACTAAAAAAAAATTAAACAACAGGTCAAATTATAATAGACACAATATCTTTTAACTTTAATTGGAGTAGTTTGGTATTTTAATTTGGTTGTTTAAACGACCAAATTAAATTTCAATAGACAATATAATTATATACTAATTACGATTTTTTAAGAAAAAAATTGAATTTTTATTTTTGATTTTATTTCAATAAATAATACAATAAAACATAAATTTTGGTTATAAAATTTAAAATATTTGATATTTTATCTTTAATTGAAGTATTTTTAATATAAATATAATATTTTTAACTTAAATGATCTCAATATTATATACTTATAAATTTTAAAGGGGTCTAAGTGTAATTTATTAATCGATATATTTACAATAGGAGTCTAAATGTTATGTGCACATAAAATTTAGGGGGTCTGTGTATAATATTTTAAATGTCAGAGAATCTGAGTGATTAAGTGACAAACTTCAAGGATGTAGTTGTAATTCTCTTTTTTTTGTGTTGGTAAGCCACAGAGATTCTATCATACTAAAGAAACACAATGGAGGGAGGTACAGAATGGTGAAAACTAATAATTGACATGTATAGTGAGTTATAAACATGCGTACCTGAAAGAAGCCATCTTGCTGGCATGCTAGGCCAATCTGTTTAATGACATCAACGCGGTGGGGACCATGGAGGCCCTGAAGGTCTATGAGGGGTATTGAGCCATCAGATATCTCAACGTCATTGAGGTTTGGACGATCGGAGATGGGTCGGATGTAATTTGAGGGAACATGGTGAACACCGGATACAAGGTCAGCTAGCAATAGCTTTGGTTTAGACATGGCTTGCCTTGCTCTTCCCTCCTACATGGGTGAGCCACTACCCCTTTATATACACTTGGAAATGTACAGAACAGACCCACCCACCACCTACCCATGCTTGTCTCCACGTTGGAAAAGTAAGGTAAGCCCTCATTTAAATTATTTATTTTTTTAATTTTTTAAGCAACCAAACAGAAAACAACTAGTAGTTGAGTAGGCAAAACAAAAGAAATTGTACTTCTATGAAATTATTTTCTAAAAAGAGTTTGATTGCTTTAGGATTTCACTTGTGCATATGCGCTAGCCGGTATCGATAGAGTTTTGATTGACGTTGGAATAAAGAGTTGATTGATTCAATTTTAACATTTAAAAAAAATTGATGAAATGCTGGCAAGATGACCTAATAAGAATGAAGTCACAAAAAAACGTCATCCAGCAGGATCAGATAGCCTAATAGGAATGAAGTCACAAAGCAACGTCATCCAGCAGATGAGCGGGTGGAGGAGAGGCTGCTTTCTCATCTCACGCATTAAAATATATTTGCCCTGCCACGCCACGCCACGCCACATTTTGATTGGGCGAAGCGATGAAGAACCCGGTCGAAGCTATGCCACGTCCGTAATCAATCATTTGATAGATGAACATGACCGGTCAGACGGAAGTAGTTGGTGATGGAAAAATGTCATGCATATCAAAATTTTTATCAAAAAATATTTTTATCAAATAAATTAATAATTTCAAATCACTCTTGAATTCATCGACCAGCAATCAAAATGTTTTTAATTGCAAAGTCGGCTCATTTGATAAATCACTTTTTAATAAACATAGCATCAGTTGTTGATGATGGCGATGAACTCAGCTGTCTGGCAAGATTAGGCGGACAGATCCATCCATCACTCTTTACTGATGAGGCAGCCAAGCCAGACAGACGTGGATCCAATTCAATTACCTACCGACCTACCCACCCACTTTTATCTGTCATGCAAGTCAGTTTTTCATTCGAATCTCGAATAGATTATACGTATTGAATGACAGATGTATAAAAAAATATTTATCGAATAAATTATTTATTTATTTTTTATATTTTTGACTTTTAAAAGTGTAAATCTTTATTTTTTTTATATTAGATTATGTTGTGTTGAATTTACATGAGAAATAAATTTTTAATTATATTATATTAGATTATGTTGTAGATAACAAGTTTTTAATTATATTATGATATTCTATAATTATGTTGAATTATTTAAAATATTAAATTTGTTTAAAATTTTAGATTATATTGACTTGAGCTTGGGCTGAGGTAGGTAAGGTGGATGTGTAAGAATTAATGTGGCCCACGTGATTTGACACATGTAATTTTAGTGATTATTATCATAAAATCAATGAAAACTTATTGATGGTTCGAAGATGAAACTAAAAAAAAAAAATAATGTTATAAATATCTAATTCAAATGCCTAATTCATTACTTCATTTTGTTTAAACCAAAAAAAACAACCAAAGTGAGGATCATTGTAAACTTGAATGGCGAAAAGTGTAAATAACTCCAAGTAAAATAAAATAGTTTTGCCAGTCTATTTGATAAGGACACAATTTGGAAAAGTCTACAACCCAAAGGTGGGCAACCACTATTTACGCTCTTTTCTCACCCCATCGAAGTTGAAGAGTCCTCTATTGTATAATAATACGAATTTAGGTGGGATAGGTCTTGAGAAATTTTCTCACTGTATTTTCTTATTTTTTTCAATTTTTATTTATTTAATTCACTTATATTTCATCATGTGACATAGCCACTCCTCTATTACTAATAAATTTTCATTCAATTTTTTTTTTAAAATACTTTCTATCCAACAATTTTTTTTAATTATTTATCTAAATTTTTTTCTCCCGGAATAAGAGAGATGAAAAAATAGTAAAGTGGGTAATAGAATGTGATGAAATATAAATTTTATACATGGCACGAGGTAGTAATAATATATACGAAAAATTTCATCCAGATTTTTTATAATTTATCACTTAATCATTTAAACTCTTATATTACACACAAATTCTTTGAGGGCTTTGCCGTTAATGTTTATTATTAGTATATTTATTAATAAATTATACCTAAACCTCTTAAATTTAAAGCATGTAATACTTATACCCTTCACGTTTAAAATATTATATTTACACAGAAAATACTCCAAGTAAAAATAAAATATCAAACATTTTAAATTTTACAATAAAGTTCATGTTGTATTATGTCATTTACTAAAAAAAAATTAAAAATAAAAATTAATTTTTATCTTAAAAAATTATAATTAGTACTGTTGATGTCAAAGTTTGTACAACCTTTGTAAAACCCGGATTTATATTTATAAGAAAATTGAAAATTAAAAGAAAGTATTGTATAAAGATTTAAACTACAATTTAATTCATTGGAATAAAAGGGAAATGAAGTATAGTTTTGCTTAATAATAAGAAGGAAATAAAGGAGTGTGTCTGACGGTGAAGACCAAACAAAAGAAAAGAAAAACATAAGGTGGAAGAAGAAAGAAGAAGAACCTAGAAGAAGAAAAAAAGAAAAAGAAAATTTGAGTTTTAATTCGAATCCAACGTTGAAATTGACTCCGTTTTTTTATAAAATTATAGTATGTTGTTTTGTAGAAAAGCTATTATTTGATAGATAAGGTGTGATGTTTTTATAGAGAGTGTTTCAAATTAGCAATTTTAAAAGTTGATACGAAGGAAATTAGCTCGGATCTAGTTGTTTCATGTGATTCTTAAATTATTTGAAGGAAATATGTACTATACATGAGTTGTGTTGTTGGAGAGAGAGTCTGAGTGTGTAAAATCAGCCAGTTAAAAATAATAAATATGGGATTTTGTTTATTATTTGTGGAAGCCCACCGAATATGTGATGTTTTGTAGGGAGTATGAAATAAATTCGGTTAGTTTGAATCAAAGAAAACTAAATATAAAAATTTGAATTTGAGGTTATATGTGACTGTTTGGACCCCTTTGTAGTAAAATGGGTATAATGTTTTGTAGACAACTCAAATTAACGCACTGTCAATTTTGTTGGAAATTAGATTTAGAGATACTTAGCAACGGTATATGGTAGGACATCAGGTTATGTCTGTAGAAATACAATTTTTTTGTACCAAAATGAGTAAAAATTGGAGATTTCTTTATAAATAACATATGTGATTTTCGATGGAAAAATAATGTTAATACTTTGCTCAGGATGTCGTTTAGAGCTCATAACTTATTATTAGAAAGTTTAGGAAGTCCACTTTTTAATCAAGTTGGTTTTATATCAATTTAGTGAGGTTAAAAGCTTATTTTTGATAAAATCACTCCATGAATTCACATGTTACGTAAATGCATCCTAAGTATTTGAGAAAACATTTAAGTAAAGGAAATGAACAAAAATAAGACTAAAGTGGCTTAATTCAAGTGGTGTGGAATGGGATATAAGAGAAAAAGGTAAGGAGTAAATAAAATTGGTGCAAAATATTTATCTACCCGTAAATTTACTTAGTCGTCGATCAGGATGACAATAACAATTGGTCAACCATTTTATCCATTGAGTGATCATTCCAAAATAATCATTTCACTAATTATTCTATTATACTTTTTTTTTTTTGTTATTCTATATTCAAACAAGCTATAATGTCAATTTTGACTATTTAAATAATCCTTGGTGTATATATATGATGATTACGAGAATGAAATAATTCGTAATATATTTCAAAGTGTATTTGAAAAAACAAAGTTGTAGTGAATACGAAATGCCATGAAGTGTACTCATATACATTCACTTGCATTTTTTTGTGTGTAATTATAGAGTCGATAATCACTTGCATTTGTGCATATACAAATTATTAGGGTCGGATGCTACAACATCGATTATACCTAGGAATTGAGCATAAAGTTGAGTGATATGTTGGTTGGCGGTGACATGTAAAGTGTACTGCTTCGTAATGATTGAAAATAAAAATATATGACTAATATGAGTTATTTTTCCTAACTGAAATGAAGTATTGATGATTTGATTTATGTTGAGTTGAGTAAATAATGTATCAAATATGTTTTGTTGACAAGTTTGTGGCTTGTTGAAAAGCTTGTGATTTGTTGAAAAATTTATGATTTGAGCAGTATTCACTGTACTAGAGTAGTTGTATACCTTGACATGACTTACATGTTATTGATTTGGACACTGTACAGTTGTCATGAGACAACTTGACATTGCTTAAATATTGTAGATAGCTTGACATTGCTTAAATTTTATTGATAACTTGACATTACTTAAATATTGTTGTTGACTCATAACACATGTGAACTATTTATTATGTTGATATTTTGATAGTGATTTGAGATTATAAAATTGATTAAAACACTTTACTTTAGTCGTTCTTGTGATGACTGTGATTCCAAAAGTCGGGTTTCGTGAGTTGTGTCAGGCAGAGTAAGGCCTCGAATGCATTTTAAGGTTATGATATATATATATATATATATATATATATATATATATATATATATATATATATATATATATATATATATAGCAATGATAGGCTATTCGAATCGTGTAAATTGAAAAGGATTAGAACGATTGAAGTTAATGAGCGAATTAGAGCGAATTAGATCGACTAGGGGTTCGAGGCTTGGTGTGTGTGGGTCTCGAAGGACTTAATTGGTATTGTTAGGATAATTAAATTAATGTGTTTGAAATAAATAAATAAATAGCTTTTGAAAGTTGTGGGGGAGGTAAGCGTGATTATATAGAACTTTTGGTAGTCATGCTCAATATATGGTGGGATAAAATGTATAGTGATGGTGTATTTCAACGTGATGCAAATTTGTGATGACGAGTAAATGAAAGAAACAATATTGGAATTATTGGGATCTGAGCTACTAGACTCGAGTGAATGATACTGAGAATTGTCCGGGGAATTGGAAAATTAACAGTAGGAATATGGTGGTTCACCAGCTAGGAAGATCGGTTAATCCACTCTTTAATGGAGACTCTTGCTCCTTGTCTTTCAATAATG